TTTCAACTTCTTAACAATATTTTGCGATCCAATTTTTGAAAGCTTCTGAGGAATATGTGTATACAGGTTTCGGTGAAACTCATGACAGTAGATCTTTTTTATACGAGATCATGTTTTCAAAATTTTATTGTGTTTTTCTTATTATGAAAAATTCTGTTATGAAATTATATCTCAAAATCCTTCAAAAAATCGGACAAGAGATAATTTTCAATTTGATGGTTGATATAGGTACCCAGTTTTATGTGTGGTGCATATTTTTGCATATCATAGCTGGTTTCAGTGATATGTTGAAAATTATTTGGGGTAGTTTAATGAGCACACTTATTCACAAAAAACCCGAGTTTTTATAATATCAAAATAGGACTTTATCCTCAGTTTAATATTCAATTGTTTGGTTGGCGATCTCTTGGATGTTGGAAATTGTATAAGAAAACTAAATTTTTCTTGAAAATTATATCTTGAAATATCAACTTTTTTTCAGACGAAGTATCAACGCAATTGCTAGATTCCTCTGCCAAAGCAATAATCGTGCAATCAAAGGCATATTCTATAGCAAAAGCAGCCCTGGACTTGATGAAATTGCAAATACCCATCATAGTCATCAAAGAAAATGTAAGATCACAATGTTTGATAAAAAGGTATAAAAAATAAATAAAAAAAAGAGTCAAAATCGTGATTTCTTGGTAATTTTTTATATTGACGTAAAATCCTGTCCTAGAAAATCAACTCGCGATTTTTCAATTCCGTTATCTCATTTTGATAAAAAAATACGCTGTCTGTTGAAAAATAATGTGAATTTTCATTTTTCTCAAAAACCATTTATTTAGTCATCGATTCCTATTCAAAGTGTTTCCTTTACTACGATGGTAATCCAAGCTTTTTGTGGAAGTAAACATATTGCTGATTATTACACTCACAATCGCCAATAATCATACATGTTTCAGCAAGCAGATAGTTTGCCACAAGGAGCAATTAGTTTACAAGAATTTGTTGATTCCAAAATAGACATTCCCGATTTGGAACCAGGAACTGGTGACGATTTAGCTTTCCTGCCTTACTCCAGTGGTACGACCGGTTTGCCAAAAGGAGTCGAACTTTTACACCGTAATATCGTTTCGAATGTTATGCAAGCAAGTCACATAGATTTCAAGTTTACCACCGATCCATCTGGTAAGTTAGTACTATGTTGCGTTTTTAGTAGATTCATGGGCAAGTAGTACATGGGCTGAAAGGTCTCGAGCCAATAGATAGATGGTGCTAGTCTTATTGCGCTAACCGCTTTTTCAGTTAGTATTAACCTCCAAAAGAAAGCTGTTGAAATTTCATGTGTTCTACTCAGAGGTTTTTGAGTTATCGTGCTAAGAATGACTCTACTTTTGTTATTTTCAAAACAATGGATCAAAAACAATTTCGGGATTTGCGTGGTGTAATATTCACAGTGAATATTATATAGCGTCACAAGTCAATCAAAACGATGGCAAAACTACATGAATTGGGCTTCAAATTACTTCCACATCCACCGTATTATCAGGATCTGGTCTCTGCGACTTTTTCCTGTTCTCAAACCTCAAAAAAATGCTCGCCGGTAAGAAATTTCGCTCGAATAAAGAGATTATTGCTGAAATTGAGGCCTTTTTTGAGGCTGAAGTTTAAATCTTTCTACAAAAGTGGTATTGAAGTATTAGAGCGGCACTGGAATGATTATGTGGCTTTTGATGTTCTTCCCTAGGCCAGGGACTTTCCAGCCCATCTGTTAAAACAAATCTAAACAATTTTATACTTCAAATTCATGAAGAAATCACGAATTGTCAAACTATATTTATTTATTTTCATAGTTGGTGTCAAGTTACTAATTCTCTCCAGCAGTTTTGGGTTCCAAGATCTGATATGTATAAGAGGTATTCTAGAGAGTTCTAAATCTAACGAGTTTCCTGGAAACAGTAAAGAATCAAAATATTCCTGACCGGTGTTCCCAAAAACCAGTCCTGATATACCACTCTTCAGTTCATCAGTGTCCCAGGTGTAGCATAGCTGTCTATGAGAACATTGATCAGCTCATTTCGTAGAGTCTTTCAATAAATATTTTTGCACATTGTAGAACAACAAATTATTTCACCTGGAAGACAGATATCTGTTGACTAAGTAGAAGCTATGAGTTGAATTTTACCTGCACAGTATATTTCAATTCACCCCTATATATTGTTTGGGTGTCAACTTGTTAAAGGTGTACTTCGGTGAAATGTTGTCAGATTTGATGTTCGTTCTTTCACATATACTTTGATCATTGCCAGTATGACTTGAACCACTCTGCTTACCCTGTTATCACGATGTGAAAGAAGAAGATTCAATCCAATGCAAATGCTTGTTTCATCAAATCAAATATGCTATATGAGTTTAACCACCACTGTGTATAGCTAATATATCATGTTCGTATTCAGTCCCCTGACTCATCTTGTTTCTATTCTTGCTAAATGTTGATTCCAGATTAGTTTAAGATATATCTGTATCTGTAGAGTAAGCCCACAGCACTTAGGCCACATGTGACCCATTGTACATCCTCCAGAGGAGTTTTCCTCCTAGGTCATCGTCCATCCTGTCTTTTCCAGGAAGGTGGACAGGTCACTGGGAGACATCTCCTTTATATCGGCAGGTGTAGGCTAAGACTCTCCGATCACACACTCTCTTATTGACGATTACTCCAGGCACTCGCATAAGGCATGCCTGTCTCATCTTCCTGTTCACATATCCTGAATAGAGGTGTGTCCACTATCCCCATATTATGGAGGTGTTTCCTTAGTTGACAGTGGCCAGTCAGAAATCCTACTGTTAAGCGTAGATTTTTCCTGCTCATCACCAGATATTTCTTCGGCGCCAGCTTTCCAGGGTCGCCCAAGTTGATCCTGGCAATATTGCATCTTTTGATTCCATCCCATATTTTTAGGGATTGAGCATGGGTGTAACATTTGGCTAGTTCCGCAATTGTCGAAGTCATCAGGCCGTAGGTGCCTCTGGGTCCTAAAATTCTTAGTCCAGCCGCTTCCTTGGCTAAAGAGTTGGCAATGCGACTACCTTTACTCCTGTCGCGCCCTTTAACCCACCTCCGGATAATGTTATTATCTATCGAGGCTTTGGCTAAATCTTGGTGACACTCTAGTACTAGCCCTGAGGTTACACGTTGTCTATTCAAGGCTAATAGGGATTGTCTGCTGTCAGTGCAGATTGTTATGTTTTTGCCAGAAATTCTTTTCCTGGTTATTTCCTTTGTTGCGATTGAGATACCAGCCTGTACTGTTTGGACCACGCTTTTTTCCCATTCACCACTTACTCCTTAGGCTTAGTGATCTGGTGTACACTCCACATCCTGAGCCTTCTTTGGTTTTTGAGCCGTCTGTAAATATGCGTATTGCATTTGTAGCATCTGTCTCTGTATTCTGTTATATTTTTATTTTGTAGGGTTTATTAAACACAAATCTGGGTTCAGTTGCATCACTGGTTTTCTGCAGCAGAAGTTGCGCAGTAAACGCTTCCCGCCATAAGCCCAGCCTCAATTGACCCATTCCTACTTCAAGGTTTACACGAGTTGTGCGCAATCGTACCATGGCCATTAACGCAACGTCTTTAACGTACAGGTCCAGACGGATCAGACCTGTAATTATTTCCATTGCCGCGGTTGGTGTTGTTCTCATGGCTCCTGTGATGTTTAAACAAGCCAGTTGCTGTATTTGATATAATTTTTGGATGGCCGTTGCTTGTACAACTTTCGGTCCCCATGCAATGGCTCCGTACGTTAACATCGGTCTTATTATTGCAGTGTAGATCCAGGGGACCACACGGGGTTAAATACCCCATGCGCGTCCCACTGTCCTCCGACATTGCTCATAAGCCACATATTATGCTCTTTTTGCTCTACTCTGTAGGTGAGAGTTCCATGTTAGCTTTCTGTCGAGGATAGTACCAAGGTACTATCCTCTAGTATCACTCCTTCGAAAATTATATTTCTTCACCTCAAAGTTTCGGAGGTCCTAATCGGTCTTTTTTGCATTTAGTTTTTCAATAATAAATTTATCAATAACTGTAACAGTTGTGAAATATCTAAACGCTGCAATTTTTCCTACAAACAAACGAATCTCATCAACTTGTTCGCTAACAAATTGATTACTCGTTCATTGCCATTTTTATGTATTTCTTTTCCAGATACTTACCAAGACGTTACACCTGGTGTTCTCCCGTTCTACCATATCTATGGATTCACCGTTAGTGTAATAAACACTCTATACCATGGAACTAAAGTGGTTACCTTAGAAAAGTTCACTCCAGACTTGTACATTTCAGTTTTGAAGAATAATCCCATTTCGTTAATATATGCTGCCCCGCCATTGAGTAAGTTACTTAGAATTTCTTATGCAGATACAATTATTGAAGTATTAACACATAGGTATGTATTTTATTTCAACTTTGACATTCATTAGGTTTGTGATATTGTAAGGTAGAAGTTTTATTCCTGAAAAAAAGTTATATAGTAAGGTAATGACTGATCTATCACGAAATGTTTTTCAAAAAATATGCTGCTGATGAATGTGTTTAAAATAACATTTTTTTTTTGGTTTCCATAAGTTGGTGTGGTCAAGGCCATTTATAAAGCTGGATAAAACATCGTATCCATATATCCAAAAAATATATGGATACAAGTTAATTAAAAAACTCTGTTGCAGAAAGTTGTAGTGAATCACACCAGCCGCTGATCACCAAGCGAGCATGAGTTTTTTGTGGGTTCTCGCCTTTGGAAAGTGCTTGGGTGGTTCATCGGTATCTAACCTGTTATCGTAGAGGATCCACTTTCCCTCACACGTGACGAGCCGATCCGAAGAAGGATCGTTTTGGTTGCACAATAGCAAAGAACAGAACTTCGAAATGTGACAAATTGTATCAATCGTTCAGAGCGTGGAGCATCCACTTTTCCCGCTTTCTGACTTTTCCAACAATTAAAAACCACATGGAAGCTGACGCCCAGTTCTTCCGCCTTCTCACGCACTTTTTGTGATGGGTCAGTCTCCACCAGGTTCCTCAAATCCCCGGCCTGGATAACTGGATTATCTGGTTGATTTTTCGGATTGTTTCGACGTCTCTTTGGTTCAATTTGAATTCGTAAAGAAAAATGGCCTAAAGTCGCTGAAAAGAGACAAAAAAATTCAAAACTGGAAAAAAAGAACATCAATGTATAAAGTGCAAAATTCTCAATCGATCAGTATATACCACGACACAGTAGAATAAATATCTTTCAGTTTCAAGGCTATGGAGTCTCATCAAAGAGATAAAGCTGGACAATGAGCTCTAACAACCAATGAGCATCACAATAGATCTGAAAAGGTCAGGCCATGGGCTAGCTCCCCGACAATCTAATCTAACCTATCTATGAGATCAATCTATTTCGTAACAATTTTTTTATCAATTACTAGTTTTTTAACAGATAGTTACAACATTATTTTATTACCTGAAAACTGAAAACGAAATTCAATAAAATTTTTAAGCCCCTTTTTTTCCCTTGGGGGTGAAAATTCCTGATTCTCTTTCTTGATGCTTATTTACGCTATACAAAGAACCTACCTGCATATTTGAAGATTTTAGGTCCAGTAGCTTCGGCTGTACGTTAATACATACAAGAGTGTCAGTCAATCAATATGTCAATACAATATTGAATAGCATCAGCAAAATAAAAAACTGAAAGGATTAGAATGAAATACATTGGTAATCCTACTAATCCTACTAATACTATAAATGCGTAAAATTTGTGAGGATGGATGAATGTAATGAATGTATTTACGTTTTTTACTTTTTCACGCCTAAACAGCTCAACGGATTCAAATGTAAGTTGGTATATAGATAGATCATGACCTGGAATAACACAAAGGGTGGGTTCCCACGGTAACGCAGGTAAAACAGCGGGGAACAGCTAGTATTGTATAAGTGGGTACCTATTGATTGACTGACACTCTTATATTAACGTACAGCCGAAGCTAGTGAGCCTAGAATCTTGAAATATGCAGGTAGGTTCTTTGTATAGCGTAAATAAGCATCAGGAAAGGGAATTAGGAACTTCCACCAACTAAAGGGGGAAAATAGGGGTTCAAAAATTGTATTGAATTTCTTCAGTTTTGAAGTTGGAAATCTGAAGTTTCTGGTTGATGGAAAAATATTGTAACTATTTGTTGAAAGTGGTCTGTCACGAAACTTTCAAATCATAGTGGGACTACATACAACGGACATTACACAGCATATTGCAGACACCCATATAGTGGCACGTGGCAAAAATGCAACGATTCACACGTGTTCCCAATTTCGCCAAAATCACTTGTGATCGATGAGGCATATGTCCTCTTTTATGAACAGGAGGGAACGAAGCAGCACTTTTGATGTGATTTTTTTTTCTTCTTTCCTTTTTTTTTTGTTATAATCTTAGTTCTTTGAATTGATTTGTAATTCATGATTATTCCAAATTGCACTATTTATTGTAATATTCAATATTAAACTGATCTGTAAGTTCATTACACCTATAAAAAAATATTGTAACTATTTGTTTAAAAGGATGTGTCACGAAACTTAATGTGAGAAACCAAATTCTACGCAGGCGAAGCCGTGGACAACAGCTAATAATTTATATTCTTCCTTCAAAAATACAGTAACTGAAAAAATATGCCAACTGCACTAAGTAATGAATAGCTTCGAGAATCAAATCATGTTACCTATAAAGAAATTTTGCAAAACAGACACTACCGTCAACGACGTCTGCCCTCAGGCGTCTGCCCGCGTTCCCGGCGATGGCGCTTCATTTCTTAAAGCGCCCCTCTACACCCGCGCATCGACCACCGTCATCTTATAGTAGACGCGACGCGTAATGGCTTACTGTGTTGCGTCAAGTTAATCTTATCGTGACAACTTTTGAACAATTCATCCAAATTACTCAGTGTAAAAGACAAAGTTATCTATATTAAATACTTTAAACGACAATTGTATCAATTTTCATAAGAATTTAACAGATTTTCTAAAATGTTCATTGTAAAAAAAGTATCCAATTCGATTGTATTTATGGCTCAGTATTTTGCATATAGCGGCTATATGCTATAGCGGACTTTTATATAGAACTATTCAAGATTTACAGTCTTACGGTACATTATCTTAATGTGATTCCAACGGTATAAGCAGCGCACGCCAAAATAACTCTCAGGGAGCAAGAATTTTTTCGACTTATTCAATCCTTATCGTTACATTATGAATAAAATGACACAAAACCTTTGTAAATTGTAGCATATATGTTATTCAGATGTATAAACTGTATTAATGTAAAGTTTCATCTAAATCCGTTCAGTCGTTTAGGCGTGAAAGAGCCACAAACATACATTTATCCATCCTCATAAACTTTCTTATGATATCAGTGTAGATCCTCAGAAACTTTCATATTTTCAATATTAGTATAGATTTTTGCAAGGCTTGATATCAGCGAAATAGGGCGATTCTTTTTACATCCATATAAACCTATATATCACCTATAAACGACACTCTTTCAGATATAAAATTAAAATTCCCAGAACTTTCGTATTTTTCCAATTCCTTTCCTAGATAGGAAAAAAAAACTCTCGTATCAACATCTTTGGAAAGTTAAACACTCTGCCGTGGCAACTCATTGTATTAGATAGATATGAGGAATAAATTTGAATAATTCATATTCATAAAATCATCGTCACCAAATGACAGTTCATTACCCCCTTCATGTCACGTGGCACACCTCCTTCAGGACCGTACTCAAAAGGTTCAGATACAGGGACAAGAATTTTCTCAAAAATTCCTAATGAATGGGATTTACAATCACTGAATATACAGGGTGTAACTAAATAAGTGTAAAACATTTAAGGAGGTGATTCCTCATCTAAAAAAAGATCTTTCATATAAATAAATTTCATTGGANATCATATATATATACAGGGCTACATACTTCTCATTCCCTATGCTACTGTTTCAACAGATGTCGATCTACAAAGTAAACCAGAAATGTCGCTGATCATATTCAAACAGAAGGATATGAGATGAATATTCAGAGGATCAGATCAGCAAACGATAATCAAGGTCTTGAAATGAGTAATTTTGATTTTAAAAACTATACCATGATCTACAGACAAAGTTGAAAAAAAAAATGTTAATGTTGGGACATTCAAGTTTCTACACAATTCTTATTTTCATTCAATAAAGGAAAGCTATCGATGAGAAATTGATGAGAATATCGGGCGTTTTCGCTTAATTAGAGAATTNTTACACTCACAATCGCCAATAATCATACATGTTTCAGCAAGCAGATAGTGTGCCACAAGGAGCAATCAGTTTACAAGAATTTGTTGATTCCAAAATAGACATTCCCGATTTGGAACCAGGAACTGGTGAAGACCTAGCTTTCCTGCCTTACTCCAGTGGTACGACCGGTTTGCCAAAAGGAGTCGAACTTTTACACCGTAATATCGTTTCGAATGTTATGCAAGCAAGTCACATAGATTTCAAGTTTACCACCGATCCATCTGGTAAGTTAGTACTATGTCGCGTTTTTAGTAGGTTTATAGGCAAGCAGTACATGGACTGAAAAATCTCGGTCCAGCACATAGATGGTGCTAGTCTTATATCATTAACCGCTTTTTCACTTAATACTAACCTTCAAAAAGGATCTGTTAAAATTTCATGATGTTCCACTCATAAGTTTGTGAGTTATTTGTGCCAAGAGTGATAATACTTTTGTTATTTTCAAAATAATGGATCAAAAACAATTTCTGAATGTGCGTAGTGTAATATTCATGAACTATCTTGAGAAGGAAAATACCATCAACAGTGAATATTATATAGCGTCACAAGTCAATCAAAACAATGGCAAAACTACATGAATTGTGCTTCAAATTACTTCCACATCCACCGTATTATCAGGATCTGGTCTCTGCGACTTTTTCGTGTTCTCAGACCTCAAAAAAGTGCTCGCCGGTAAGAAATTTCGCTCGAATAAAGAGATTATTGCTGAAATTGAGGCCTATTTTGAGGCTGAAGTTTAAATCGTTCTACAAAAGTGGTATTGAAGTATTAGAGCGGCACTGAAATGATTATGTGGCTTTTGATGTACTTCCCTAGGTACTTCCCTACTGACCACCACTGTGTATAGCTAATATATCATGTTCGTATTCAGTCCCCTGCCTCATCTTGTTTCTATTCTTGCTAAATGTTGATTCCAGATTAGTTTAAGATATATCTGTATCTGTAGAGTAGGGGGGGTAAGTGTAAGCCCACAGCACTTAGGCCACATGTGACCTATTATACATCATCCAGAGGAGTTTTCCTCCTAGGTCATCGTCCATCCTGTCCTTTCCAGGAAGGTGGACAGGTCACTGGGAGACATCTCCTTTATATCGGCAGGTGTAGGCAAGACTCTCCGATCACACACTCTCTTATTGACGATTACTCCAGGCCCTCGCATAGGGCATGCCTGTCTCATCTTCCTGTTCACATATCCTGAATAGAGGTGTGTCCACTAGCCCCATATTATGGACGTGTTTCCTTAGTTGACAGTGGCCAGTCAGAAATCCTACTGTTAAGCGTAGATTTTTCCTGCTCATCACCAGATATTTCTTCGGCGCCAGCTTTCCAGGGTCAGTTATTGTTCAAAAATACATTCTGTTAACAAAGAATGGAATGAATTATAAAAAAGCTGGTCATATGTTCAAACACAAGATATAAAAGATGAATGGACTCAAAAAACATAGAGTAAACAAGAGACCTGACAACAAAGTGAAAATACTGGTTTAAAATTTTTCGAAAATAATAGCACGAGATGTCAAAATGTCATCGAGAAATTAACATTTGTAACGAAATATTATTGACCAATATGATAAGATCANACGTTAAAAGATAAGACCACACCAGCCGCTGATCACCAAGCGAGCATGAGTTTTTTGTGGGTTCTCGCCTTTGGAAAGTGCTTGGGTGGTTCATCGGTATCTAACCTGTTATCGTAGAGGATCCACTTTCCCTCACACGTGACGAGCCGATCCGAAGAAGGATCGTTTTGGTTGCGCAATAGCAAAGAACAGAACTTCGAAATGTGACAAATTGTATCAATCGTTCAGAGCGTGGAGCATCCACTTTTCCCGCTTTCTAACTTTTCCAACAATTAAAAACCACATGGAAGCTGACGCCCAGTTCTTCCGCCTTCCCACGCACTTTTTGTGATGGGTCAGTCTCTACCAGGTTCCTCAAATCCCCGGCCTAGATAACTGGATTATCTGGTTGATTTTTCGGGTTGTTTCGACGTCTCTGGTTCAATTTGAATTCTTAAAGAAAAATGGCCTAAAGTCGCTGAAAAGAGACAAAAAAATTCAAAAATGGAAAAAAAGAACAGCATCAATGTATAAAGTGCAAAATTCTCAATCGATCAGTATATACCACGACACAGTAGAATAAATATGTATCGAGATATACAGTACATTTCTTTAATGTTCCCCCACTTTTATTTTTTGAACGGATCAACTCAAAAAATTGGAATTCGAGATAATGAAATTAATGCATGAATACTTTATTTTGAAGTGAAACGTTCAAAATAGCGGAACATTTAATAATTTCCTGAAAACAAACACATTAATATCGACATTTCTAGAAATATTTCTTTTCATCTGCCATATGGCAATTCCAACAACCCGATAAGATTTGTTAAGTTATTTTTTTTTTACAAAAACGACATAAAATGTCAGTACGACAGTCAGTTCAGTTAGAATATTCTCATTCAGTTTTTGGTTTTGATGGTAGAAAGGTACCACGTCAACAATCTCTGAAATGGTCAAATCTCCTCCATTGGAAGAAAAAATTGAAGCAATTTTTATGTACGGTGCGACGCGTAACTTTCACGAGACCGAAAGGATTTTCAATGAACGTTTTCCGAATCGTCCTATCTGTAGAAAATATTTGAGGAAACTTGTATCCAAATTCACAACTACCGGTAGTGTACATAACAAATAGCCCTCAAGTCATCGGTCCATTTAGGAAGTACAGCAAGTGCAAATAATTGGTGAGATGGTATTAAATCCTAAACAGTCTACTTATTCCGTCGCGAATGTTTGTGAGGTGGCTCCTTCTACTGTGTGTAGACTTTTGAAGAGGAATAGGTATCACCCATACAAAATTAAAATGGTACACCAATTAACTGAAGATGACCCTGATCGAAGAACAGAATTCTGCGAAATCATGACGGAAACCATTGCAAGGCATCATACCTATCTCCACAATATTTGTTTTAGAGACAAATGTACATTTTTTTAAATGGCAATGTTCACAGACAAAATTGCCGTTATTGGAGTGACACCAACCCTCACGTTTTCCGGGAAACACATACCCAATATCCAGAAAAAATTAACGTTTGGACAGAAATATTGGGGAAATCATATTGTAGGATCTCTATTTATTCTTAAAACATTAACAGGGGAACTATATTTGAATATGCTGGAAACTAATGTTGACCCTCTCGTCACTGAAATCGTCAAAGAGAATCCTAATGAATTCGATATGGATATTGTATTCCAACAAAATGGAGCACCACCACATTACTCCAGAAATGTAAGAAACTATTTGGATACCACTTTTACCGGTCGTTGGATTGGCCGTCGAGGTCCTACAGAATTTCCAGCACGCTCGCCATATTTGACACCTTTGGACTTTTTTATGGGATGTTCATATGTCAATAAGTTCAAGGCAACCATTTCGAGCATCTACTGAACTGAACTCAAGCTTATTATCTCATATTATGTAGTTAAGTGTCAAAATAAAGTATTCATGCATTATTTTGGTTATCCCAAATTTCAATTTTTTCAGTTGACTCGTTCAAAAAATAAAGGGGGGAGGATATTAAAGAAATGCACTGTATATCCATCGAATATTTTCAAATCAATAGGCTAGGATCAATTGAATGACCAACACAATCCCCTGATCTGACGTCATTAGACTTTTTCTCATGTGGCTTTATCAAAAGTATTAGTTACCAGATTAAACTGCTTGACTTAAGACGAATAATGCATGCGACGGTGGGCAAATTGCTTCATTTCACCCCAACTCTGTTTCACTATTACACTGAAAATACAACACAAAAAGTCTAACTAAACTTCAGATTAATGCTCAAATGTCTATCGCCTTATTAGGTCTATTCGCATTATTCTTTCTAGACTTTCTAGACTGTAATGCTCTTACGACCCGAGCTTCCTGGAAACGGGTGGAACAACTCTCGAGAAGACACATCATTCTAGAAGTTTTGACCTTGACTACGTCGCAGTGGATCGAAGAAGACCAGCGTCGGCCGGCGTTAGTTTTTTTAGGGATTAATTCACAACAATGTATTGACATTGGTAGCAAATTTCCGAAATCAAATAATTCTATACTGTGTTATAACATTTTTCAACAAACAGCGTTGCTTTACTCCTTAATAACAATACCTGTATTTCCTTTCAGTTCTTTTTCTAAGCGCCCACCCCGACGTGAAAAAAGAATACTTCGCCCACTTGATATCTGTAACTTCCGGAGCAGCTCCTCTAGGTCTTTTAGACGAAGAAAGGTTTATCGAGAAAATTGGTAGGGACGTACAGGTATTTCAAGGTTAGTTATCTGAAATTCAAACGATTTCTCATTTAAACGAGTTTATTTCAGGATATGGATTGACTGAAACTTCCCCGATTGTTACGTTTTCTCCCAAAGGTTTGCGGCGATCAGAGAGTAGCGCTGGATCCATTGGCGTGCCGGTTCCAAATACTCTCCTTAAATTGATTGCTCCTGATGATCCAACAGGTAAATAATAGTATATTATATACCTAGGTGAGAAGTGAGCTATTATCTACCGAGCATTTTGATATCCTGAGGCGAGCACCGAGCACCGAGGGATATAATGTGCAAGGTAAATAATAGCTTTCTCAGCCGAGGTATATATAGAATTTTTTCCACTACTAACATTGATATATTAACAATTTCAATTTTGGCATTAGTAATTTTCTAACAATTTGTTGAATATATCGGAATATCAAGTAGAGTGGAGCGTGTTTCTAATCAGACTGGCTTTATTTATGTAAAAATTTGGCATGTGTCAAATTTTGATATGAATCTAGGAAATATCTCATTGCATTTTTGATTATTGATTCCAGTGGCGCATTTGCTTTTTCAGCTGCAGGAAAACCCGGAAAAACCTGCAGCACCACATCATCTGAAGATCTTGATCTAACAATATCCTCTCTTATAAAACAAAATGTAGGGTGTCTCCAGAGGCTCCAATAAATTCAATTCAAATAATTTTCAAGCGTATTTCCAATGTTCCATTTCCTACTTCTAGTTGATAATTAAGTTAACAAAAGTTTCTCTGAATATCTTTAAAATTATAGAATTGTTCTCATTATTTTCCTAGGTGTTTTTTATTATCATTATTTACCAAAGGTGAGAAATATTAATTCTCGTTAGGGGAATGGAGTAGATAGTAAGAGTGTGGCTCTGCCAAACTCTGAAAACCTGATTCGGTCCGTAGCGGGGAGGCACAAAGTATGTCCTCTGCTGTTTTATCATTTTCAAAACAGAGGCGACACACACTGTCTTCCGATAGTTCGAATTTCTGCATATAATGATCCAAATGACAGTGACCTGTAAGAAGGCCTATTAGACATAGAAGTTCATCCCTACTTGTTTTCAAGCTTCGAAGAGTGAATGAACGCCTTGGAGTTAGCCAATCCTGACAAGTTCTGGTCCAATGAAGCTGCAGTACCCTTCTTTGCAAGGGAGTCAGCAGTTTCATTGCCTCCCAGGCCAGTATGGCCAGGAATCCAGACAAGAGACATATGGTTAAGTCTTTCTATTGAGAAGATTCCTGTTTGGCAATTTGCTACCAATTGAGATGTTGCTCGGTAAGACGCCACTTGACTGTCCGATAATATTTTTATTGAATAGTGAAAGAAGTTGAATTCTACCAATCTCTCCGCACACAATTCAATAACATAGATTTCCGCTTGAAATTCAGTCGCATAGGGCCCTGGGCAGGTTGATATATCTATCCTAGGTCTGCGACTGAAAACACCTGCACCAGAACCTGAAGGTATATTTGATCCTTCTGTGAACCAGAGAATCCAGTCCTCTCTACTCGGAAACTCTACTCGGGAACAGTACTTTATAAGGCAGTTCGTAGTTGACAGTTAGAGGCATAATGTCAGAGGTCATTCCTAGAATGCTGTGACTTCCAGTATCAACCAGCAGTCTATTGTACTCTGCATTAGATTGATTTGTGCAATTGACGCTGTGCTGTCTAGCCTGTCTCTCCAGAGACAGATATAAATTAATAGTAAATCTTGGAACAGTAATATTTATTCAGTATATGTTATAAAACATTCAACATGCAAACCATTGTCATACTTTTGACACCAAGTGTTACTTTTTTGTGGCAAGAACCACATCTAGTTTGTTTTTCTTGGGGATAACTCACCTGATAGAAGACATTTTTTTCAGTTTGAATTAAAAGGAATGAAGGAATAGATTTTCAAATCATTTAGAATTTTGTTATAGAGTCTAGTTATGTTACATGAGAGATACAATCGAAAGTGACTCGTTGTTTGCAGTGGTAGCTTAAGTCTATCTGTGAATCGTACATCCAGGTGGTGAATGTCAGTCCGAAAAGTTATTTTTTCATAAAGATAAGGTGGCTTCTTTGTTTGTATAATCTTATGGAACAAACTACAGGTATGAGTAATTTGTCTATTGTGAATATTGAACCTACCATCTCTCTGTATCTGTAGAATAGGGAGGGTGAGTGTAAGCCCACAGCACTTAGGCCACATGTGACCCATTGTACATCCTCCCAAGGAGTTGTCCTCCTAGGTCATCGTCCATCCTTTCCATTCCAGGAAGGTGGACAGGTCACTGGGAGACATCTCCTTTATATCGGCAGGTGTAGCCCAAGACTCACCGAACACACACTCTCTTATTGCCGATAACTCCGGGCACTCGCACAGGACATGCCTGACAGTCTCATTCCTGTTCACACATCCTGCTTAGAGGTGTGTCCACTAGCCCCATATTATGGAGGTGTTTCCTTAGTTGACAGTGGCCAGTCAGAAATCCTACTATTAGGCGTAGATTTTTCCTGGTCATTGCCAGATATTTCTTCGGCGCCAGCTTCCCAGGGTCGCCCAAGGTGATCCTGGCAAGATTACATCCTTTGATTCCATCCCATCTCTTTGAGGATTGAGCATGGGTGTAACATTTGACTAGTTCTGCAATTGTCGAAGTCATCAGGCCGTAGTTGCCACTAGGTCCTTAAATTCTTAGTCCAGCCGCTTTCTTGGCTAAAAAGTCGGCAATGCGATTACCTTTACTCCTGTCGTGCCCTTTAACCCACCTCAGGATAATCTTTCTTTTGTGGCGATTGAGATACCAGCCAGTTCTGTTTGGACCACGCTGGTATTTCTTCCCATTCCCCACTTAATTCTTAGGCTTAGTGATCCGGAGTACACTCGACACCCTGAGCCTTCTTTGGTTTTTGAGCCGTCTGTATAAATCCGTATTGCATTCGTATCATCTGAATCTATGTTCTGATTAATTTGTATTTTGTAGGGTTTATTAAACACAAACCTGGGTTCAATTGCATCGCTTGTTGCCTGCAGCAGAGGTTGCGCAGTAAGCACTTCCCGTCATAGGCCCAGCCTCAATTGACCCATTCCTACTTCGACATTTACACCAGCCGTGCGCAATCGTACCTACCATGGCCTCCTTAACGTACAGATCCAGAGGGGTCAGACCCGTGATTAATTCCATTGCCGCGGTTGGTGTTGTTCTCATGGCTTCTGTGATGTTTAAACAAGCCAGTTGCTGTATTTGATATAATTTTTGGATGGCTGGTGCTTGTAGAACTTTCGGTCCCCACGCGATGGCTCCATACGTTAACATAGGTCTTATTATTGCAGTGTAGATCCAGGTGACCACACGGGGTGAAAGACCCCATGCGCGTCCCTTTGTCCTCCGACATTGCTCATAAGCCACGTTTGCTCGTTTTGTTCTACTCTGTAGATGAGAGTTCCATGTTAGCTTCCTGTCGAGAATAGTACCAAGGTATTTTACCTCTTCAAAGAAGTTCAGTTTGCTTTTGAAGATTTCGGGAGCTTTTGAGCCCGTTAAACTTCTTTTCCTGGTGATAAGATTTCGGGAGCTTTTAAGCCCGTTAAACTTCATTTCCTGGTGAAAAGGACCATCTCAGTCTTCTTGGGATTGATCGACAGTGAGTGTTCCTTAAACCATGTTTCTATTAATTTTAGCCCATCCTGAGCTCTATCGCACTATGTCATCTGCGTATGCAATTGTGTAGAATCCATTTTTGTTAAGGTGATTAATCAGGGTATCCAGAACTATGTGCTAGGGAAGGGGTGATAAGACCCCTCCCTGTGGACATCCCTTCATGACCAGTTCTTTCACTGTGATGTCTTCTACATTTATACTTATTGCTCTACTAGAGAGCATCTTGAGTATCCATTCTCCTACTACCAGGGGTACATTCCTGGAGTGTAGTTGCTGGGTAATTGTTGGAAAGGTTGTTTTGTCAAACGCTCCCTCGATATCTATGAATATACCCAGGGTGGATTCTTTGTTGTCCAATGATCTCTCGATTCTGCCAACCACGTGGTGAAGTGCCGAATCAGTAGACCTTCCCGGAGTATATGCATGCTGATTTGGATGAAGTGGGTTGTGAAGTAGTACTTCATCTCTTATGTACCGCTCTCATAGCCTCTCCATGGTTTTTAAGAAAAACGATGTGAGAATAATTGGTCGAGTACATTTTATTTCATATGGAGGATTTTTTCATGAATTTAAACATTAACGGGTTCATATACACTTCCATTATCAAAATTTCTGAGATATCAACATGAAAATGTTTACTGTCGGAGATATTCCAAAAATAACGTTTTTATTACGTTCTGTGTTATTTGGATCCCATGTATAATTAATTCTCCCTTCCAATGCATTTCTTAGATTTAGTTGTCGGAAATGAGTGTGATTTTACTTTGAATCCTGAATGAATCAGAAACTGTTCATACGCTCCGTGAATTTTACAATTTGGCAATGTTCATTATTTGTATTGTTCCTATTGGTCAAACAAACAAGAAGCGGGACTAGGCCCGTAACGTCACGAGCCTAGAAAATCCGATTTTCAATAATTAATTACGGGAAAACAACGCTATTTAGAGAGCTGAAACAAAGTACACTATTTTTCAATTTGAAATTACTACCAAATGAACTGTAAACCAAAAATCATGAAACAAGTCCATTCTCTTCCGTCGAATAATAATTCCATTATAATAATAATCGTCTCATACAATCTTTAATAGATTACAGAGCTAGTTGTTGATATACAACTCAGCACAAGTGCTAATGAGTTGTTCTTCCTCTCAATATCACCTCCCTCCCCAAATCTTAGACTGCGACCGCGGCTGTGTTCCTATTTAACAATCCATAAACTAAACCACAAATTTAAACTAATTTCATTGAAAAGAAACTGATTCTGCTTGCTGAATACCAAATGCGAATGTATTTTAGGGACACCGTTAGGGCCAAATCAGACTGGGGAATTGTTAGTGAAAGGTCCGCAAGTTATGAGAGGCTATCACAATAGACCAGAGGAAACAAAAAATGCGTTTTTGGACGGATGGTTCAAAACTGGAGACATAGCCTACTACAATGATAAACGACTTGTCTTCATCACTGATAGGCTGAAAGAGCTAATTAAGGTAAATACAATTCGAAATACTACTATTAGGCCTCTCGTCCACTGGGAGCGGAAAGCTGCGATGAGTTGCGAAATCAATTCGTCAGAATTTGCTTGAACGATCCAAACACATGGATCGGTAGGGAACCGCATCCACATGAGCCGTATCGTTAGTCAGTTTTCGTCCGACTAGTTGCGAATTGCGAACCGATCCCGTTCTGCTGGGATTTGTTTGCGATCTAGTGCGAAAATAGTTACAAAGTATGTCTTTTCTCATTCGACAATAAGAAAAGTGGTGATCATCGTCGATCTGAAGATCATGCCACAAATGTAAAAATTCATCGAACTTCTTTTTTTTGCGTAAATGGGATTTACCCACATTTCCCGCCTTCGTCGATATCGCCTGTGCTTGATACGACAATGAATCAAAAGTGATAATTGTAAAGCGAAAAATTCTTCATCAGAATAATTAAAAACCCCTTCCAACGAATCATCTCACCTACTACGAATCCGGACGAATACTGAGCAATGGACAATGTGCATCGTACGATTTCGTACGAACGGTGTTAGCACGAATTCGTTGCTTCGCAATTCGCTTTCCGCTCTCAGTGGACAGAGGCCTTAAAAGCCAGTTCCCATTCGGGGAAAAAATTTAACGAGAATATAAATTCGGGATCATGTACCAAACCACGTAATAATCATAAGCAACCTAAATTTTCAGGGCGCTGCAAAAGAGTCGATTTACATTGGATTTAAATCGCTTCAGATTGTATTCATTTGGAAAACTAATCTCAGAAAGTATGAACATGAAGAACCAACTCCCCAACGCGCTACAGTGACCATGTCGTATGCCACCCATAATTGGAATAACGCAATTGAGAAACATTCAGGATCAAGAACTGTCGCTCTTGATCTTTTGCTGGCCAAACTTCGATGCTATAGCTTGTCGGATCATTTCTGTGTATGGCTCCTCAGCTTCCTGAAAGAACGTTCCCTGCAAGTGGCCGTCGATGGATATCTCTCGAATAATTTCACCATCAACGCTGGTGTTCCCCAGAGATCCATATTATCTCGAACCCTCTTTTTATTGTATATCAACGACTTATTGGAAAAAACCAAGAATCCAATATATTGCTTTGTTGATGACAGCAACTTGTCTCGTCATTCCATTTGGATTCCAGGACATCGGCTACGGAGGCACATCCTCTCCGGCAGTAGGAGGTTGCAAATCTTATTGAGGATCTAGAAGTGATTTCGAATTGAGATGAAAATAATTCAATTCAATGCCAGGAAAAACTCAGGCATCGGTTTTCTCCAAGAAGATAAATGTCTCTGAACCGGATATAATAATGTCAGGTCAGACAATTCCGCTTTATACTTCGATAAGTTTGTTGGGGGGTTAAAATAGACGCCAATGTCTTGACACAAACATGTTGCTGGAATTGCAAAGGCTGCGCTTCTCAAAAGCTTGGAACACTGTACACACCTCAGCAACTTTAGATACTTTATGAAGCTCAGATCAGATTTTCTTTGGAGTATTGTTCTCATGTATGGAGCTCTGCCCTCAAACATACTCTGAAGTTGCTGGATTCCGTCCAGAAAAGAGCCATCCGCCTGATTCGAGACGCGAACATCACCTTGATAGTACTGGAACATCGAAGAAGGTTGGAGATTTATCTCTCTTCTATAGATACTTTCACAGGAGGTGTTCAAGTGACTTGGCACATTTGATTCCACCAAGAGCGGTACATATCAGAAATACGCGACGGACTGTGGCTGCTCATCGTTTTGAGTAGATACACCTCGAACTTCACCGTTTAAGAACTCTTTTCATCTGGATAACTTCGTTTCTGTGGAATAAACTTCCTAAAAACGTTTTTCCAAAGGGATTTACTCTCCAGTGATTTAAATCCATTGTGAATCGCTACTTTCACACAAGCACCGCTCTGGGAGCGCCTTAAGGACTTTCCTGTTATGCTTGTGTTTTGTCCTTAAAAAGAAATTAACAGACAGCGTACACTTGATGACATAGCTTACAAAATTAGTGATTTGAATTAGTAAAATTACTCTATTTTATTTCATTGAATGAAAGTGAGGCCATTATTCTAATTTTTTAAATATTTACCTTCCTAGGTGAAAGGATTCCAGGTGGCTCCGGCAGAGTTAGAGGCTATTTTGAGAAACTATCACGCAGTAGAAGATGCCGCAGTAATAGGTATCCCTCATCCACTTTTTGGTGAAGTTCCCAGAGCTTACATTGTACCGAAGAAGGATGTCCCTTTGAAAGTAGAAGACCTGAACCAGTACGTCAACGACAAAGTCGCGAAGTATAAGCGACTTGAAGGGGGGGTTCAAATCATAGACGTTATTCCCAAAAATCCTTCTGGAAAAATTCTAAGGAGACAGCTGCGATTGAAATACGATGAAAATGAAATATAACTTATGACACATTCAATCAACTGTACGATTTTCTTTGGAATTAATGAACTTTTCAACTGGCGTTCAATCCATCAAACACGTAAAAAAAAGTCTTATGAAATAATTGATAGCTACTTACTTTAAATCAGTTAATGATATTCAGGGTGTTCCAAACTTGAAGATATGTTAAGTGAGATATATCGTATGTTAGAAGAGAAACATAACCTTAAACCTCTAGATATAAGGTCGTTTTATTATCCAATGCCTCGCTTTGTACTTGAGGTTTTGTATCAAATGATAGTTATATAAAGTGAGTCAAATTCAAGATGCGTGGGGATTCTGAAAACTAACAGTTTCAGCAGAGGTTAATGAAAGGCAGTACAGTTGAGCCCATTTTTGTTATGGTTAAAACCTCTTATTCTCAAAATACAAACCTGGGACCGAGTTAAATGAAAAGATTTATAGGTTTAGTTCAGTGCTATGGAAATATTTTTGAGGGTGGTATTTCTTGGACTTTCCCCAACGTATTTCAAATATAGACCCGTATTTTTCATTTCTTTAAATATCCTTGCTCATGTTAGATGATAAAAATTACCTGTCAAAATGTTAGTTCATTATTAATCTCGAGTCATCATCAGTGAAGATTGAATACTATGAAAAGTTGGGAGATATATTTTGGAGGGTTTTTCATAGCAATAACATTGATGCAGTGTTTGTATTTCATAACTTTTGGGAAATTTCTGACTTACCAACAATTCGTTAGTGCTACTTCCCCTGAAAAATCCCTTTTTTTGAATTGTTGATATTGGTTTAGCAATCGAGAGTAAAGAACATGATTAAATGATTTCTACAGCTTCAAAATTCCAATGTAAAGTTGCATTAGGTTAACGCGTGTTAGGAATCACACGTTAAAAGATAAGACCTTGTTAGTCCTTAGCTCGCAAAAGTTTCGACTGTTGAGGTTTCTTGTTCAAAGGGAGCGACAGCTGAATAACGGAAAAACAGATTTTAAGAGGAAAGAACAGAAAGCTTTAGTTATCGGAAATCAATTGACCCAAATGTGAGTGAAAAATATAGTTGAATAATTTTATTTTTTCACGTCTCTAAAAGTAAGAGGTTTTTAACATCATAACCTATTCCACAATAGGTAAATGTTCCTTGAAAAATATTTTTCTGTGGAGGATCAATAGTTTCTTGATTTAATGGGTTTTTGATCTTCTACGATCAGGAAAATGAATAGTTTTAGATTATATAATAGTGTATAAATGAATTTATATTTAGAGTAGGTATGTACGAATGTTGCCTGTCGGATTAGATGGAATTCAGACAAAAAATAAATCATGAACTCTCCGTTTTCCAAATCCTCATGCATCCACACGCGCGATATAATTTTCTGAATATATTTCCTATCAACGAAGTTTCATACAATGTGTGCCACAAAATGTTTATTTTCTTTTACAATGTGAAAAATGATCTGTCAAAACCCTTTACATTTTTCATCCACTCAGTACAATAATTCTCAATTCTGCTAGTACATTGTTCAGTAAACTATTTTAAAGACTTTCTATTTCTGTTTGTATTTGTGTTCAATATATTTCTGTTGTGAATGTTTTTTGGTGTGATGTATTGGTATGGTTGTGGGTTGACCACATTTAATTAAGGCGTTCTTCATCCTAGAAATGAGTTGAATAAATATTATTGTTACAACTTTGTCTTTGATTTTTTTTATTTGGATAAGTGAAACAAATAGCTGAAATGAGTGAAATAAAGTGAATTTTCATTTATATTAATACATTTATATATCTATCATTTTCTATTTTGTCCTCTTCGGTATTTCCCCCTCAGATATACACTTATGCCAGCGATTGCTAGCTCTCTCAGCGATTCAGTTTTTATCTCCTCAATCGTCGAAAAACGCCGTCCTTCCATGAGTCTCTTCAATCTTGGGAACAGGAAAATGTCGCAGGGGGCCAGATCTGGTGAATACGGTGGTTGAGGCATTGTTTTTATACGATACAAGACGTTTGATATGAATTGCTTCTGGCAAGAGGCCATAACTTCACAAAGCAATACTTCTTATTCACCGTACAATCATGTGGCAAGAACTGCTGATGCACTACGCCACAATAATCGAAGAAAACAGTGAGCAATACCTTGATATTTGATTGAACTTCGCGTCCCGAAAGCACGGTCTAGTAGAGTCTTGATGATTCCTTAGTCGATTGATGGTGGTTGGATTCCTGGTTCAGATACTATCCCGTGTGAGTGGGTTTTCGATATACAGATATTCCCATTTAGTGTCGGTCCTCTTCACCAATACGTCTAAGAATGGCAATTCGTTCCTAGTAATTCCATGATTACTTGTATTGGTAAGTTTGTTCTATCTTTCAGGTCCCCGTCTTCGGGTAGCTTCTTCTGTATGATTTAGAGTGCTTCTTCGACAGGAACGTTGGTGTAGAGGCTTTCCATGTCGAAACTGATCAGTTGATCCTGCTCTTTAACTTCGATTTCCCCTAGTAGTTCAACAAAATGCCTTGAATTTTTCACCAAAGATGATGTTTTTCCCTGCAGTGGTTTAATTATTGGTAGTAAAAATTTGGACAAATTCTGAGTGGCTGAATCTGTGGAGCTAATGATCGGTCTGAGCGGAACATCCTTCTTGTGGGTTTTGGGTAGTCCATACAAGTGAGGGGGCTTACTATGGTGCGATGTTAGCGATGATCTCTCTTTTTCTTATGATTCGTCACCAGTTATGACCCTTTTGGATCTGGATCTTGGTCAAGATTCAGCAATTTTGGAACGAACTTCGCTGCCACACGCTTCATGCCCAAAATTTCACAAAAAATACATGGAATGAGCCAACCGATATGCTGGAATCCTCAGCAACTTCTCCGATAGTGATTCGACGATCCTTCTTAATATTTTTTTTTTCCACTTTCTCAACATTTTCATCGGTTGTTGTTGTGCTGGGGCGTCCAAGGCGAGCGTCGTCATTCACATCTTCTCGACCTTCTGTGAAAAGCTTGTACCGCTTATTAACATTTTTCTGCCACTGTCAACATTTCATGTGTTTTTAGCACTTGATTCCATTTTTACACCGAATTTTGTGCACAGGTTTCTCGATAGCAGAAAATCTCCGAATACGCAAAACGCTTCTTACTTTTATGTCTCTCGGCAACAAACTAAACATGCTAAACAGCTGAAACTGTGAACATATCTTCGAGACGAGTGTACCAACATAAAAAAATCGCTAATCGAATATACGTAGCCCGCGAAATTTGAACATTTATCTTATTTTTTTAACATCCCACATATATACTCTAAAAGAATCATTGTATATTCATCGGCCGGTTTAATACACATCTGTTTTGTTTCTCTCTGACGGTTAATTCTTTTATAAATAATACACAAATATTTTCAACTATTTTTTTTTCATTACACTTTATTCATGGGTACATCCTTAGTACATAAAAATACTGCTAAAATCACTAAAATTTCCAACTCTGTATCTAATACAAATAAAGAAAAACTCATCTTTAAGAACAAGATAGGAATGATTAAAATTTAATAATTATTTAAAAAAACAAAAGTTTGTTTAGTTCGGCAACCATCAATTTTTGGAGAATACTTANCACGGTAAATATTTTCTAAAGAAACGATAATAAAATCAAATCGATGACTTTTATCGTGACAAGAAACTGTTGAAGGCTTTCAAAGCCATCAACTTCAGTTTGGAAAAACTGTTTCCAGAATGTGTTTGAACGCAACAAACGTGTATCATTCTTGAAGGAGAATATTTTAAAAAAACCATTTTAATGAATAAAAAAAAGTTCCTCAAATTAAATGTTATTTCCCCATATCAACATTATATCTTCAGTGCCCTAAAAACCATTTTGAAACATTTCTGTCTAGAATTTTGTTTTGTTGTTAAAAAAAATTTAGGGCTTGTCGATTGTTGAAAACAACAGCTCATCCATACAAATTTGTCCTTATTCTTGTAATAAAGTGGGCTGTAAAAAATCAGGTTAACTTTTAAAAAATCAGTGACTGCGGTGATCTTGGTGTTTGTGGTGTGAGAGTTGTATTGGAACACCTCCTTCCAAGAAGTGATTCTTGATCTTCTCCTTTAGTACTCAAGGACCTCGATAATCCTAACTTCAGCCTAAATGAAATAAAAGTAACATTTTATTGAAGACGATTTTCAGAAATCACACATTAAAAAACCACACTAATAAAAAACACGCGCGCTGAAGCTGTTTTCTACAGAGGTGATGAATGTTTTTGGAAAGATGACTTTGACTTTGCAAAGAAAATTGATTATATGAAATTGATTTGAGTACGATAGTATTGAATAATTATTAAACTGAAGTTGCATTTTTTCAACAACCAGCTCTTTGAATTAGAATCATTATCAAAGAGAATAAAGAGTCTTTAACATAACTTGCAAGAGCTGAAAGGAGTTTTTTTGACTTTTCAGGGCCAATTATTCTTCCAGAGGTTAGTCGCCATCAGGTTTCTTAACTATTTAAAAAAACAAAAGTTTGTTTAGTTCGGCAACCATCAATTTTTGGAGAATACTTAACACCAGTCAATACTGTATATTGGAATACTATATACTATTAATAGCATATAATAATTAGGCCAGATATTAGAATAATTTAGTGTATAATGATACAAAAGCATTTTCTTGTTATAAATTCAAATAAAATCAATAGAAATCCCTCATGAAGAAAGCACAATTTCAGTTTGTTTTACATCACTGGTATGGTTTAACGTAAATATAATGTTCTCAAAAACTTATAGCTAAAAAAGAACACAATCCTTAAAAGAAGAAACCATTGTTCAAAATGGTCATGATGAAGGCACTAAGTATCCCAAAAACACAACCTCCTGGAGTGATTATAAATTATTGGTACTTTATATTCAAACTTACAATCAAAATAAGAAAAAAGTTAAGATTTTCACAACAAAAATATTTGAAGAACTATTTTGGCTTTCTACTTCCCTTTTTTAACTTCTTTGAAGAAATCCATAGATAATTCCCAGTTACCAAAGAAAACGACCACTTTAAAACAGCTACCCAAATACTTTGTTAAATCATATCTAAGGAAAGAATAACTCGTAGGGAGGCTAACTAACTTTCTTCTTGTTTTGGAAAAAAAAACATCAAAAATTCCTGTGACTTTGTGATATATAATTTCCCATTTTCGGTATTTCAAGAGGTTAGTGTGAAGGTCCATTAAAGATCATTCAAAAAATGAAAGTCAAACCTAGTCCAAAGAATATCACAGATGGTATAATCGTGTATAGTTAACTTATTACAACTGACTTTATGATGAACATTCCGTCAGAAACATTTCTGTAATCGCAAACTTTATGGAACACATTTCAACAATTTATCTTCCTTCCACTGTGATACTGCTCTAAATACTATTTTGAGCTTTATGCGAATGTTTGGGATTTTATGAGCCAAAAATTCTTCCTAAAAAGCACCAAAGCAGATACAATTTTGGAATACAAATTGGTTTTAAGTACTCAAAATACTATATCGTATTAATGAAAAATAAACTGATTTTTATTGGAATGTACGGAGTTTCATAGGCCAAAATTTTTTCCTGAAGGAGTATTGAGTATAAAGTAAGTAGCTAAAAACAAATTTGAAGTATACTGATCTATCTTACCAGTCAGATTTTTCTTTTTCATTATTCCTACTTTTCTAAAGCGCTGCCGAAAAAGTCCGAAAAATTAACCAGACATTTGGCAATGATAGTGTTAATAAATGCACCGTATGACGTTGGTTTGCAAAATGCGAAGATGAACCTGTAGTGGTCGACCTACAGTAACTCAGGACGAGGATTTGAGGATCCTGATAGAGACTGACCCATCAAAAACGGTGCATAGGATGGCGAAAAAACTGGGCGTCAGCACCAATGTGGTTTTTTATGGTTTAAAACGTATTGAAAAGCTCATAAAAACGAACAAAACTTTCGAAACAACCTATAAATATGAATCGTTTGTAGCACAACGGTCGTCATTAATTAATATTATATTGTTATGAATTGCAGCTACATAACATACAAATAATAAGGTTATTTTTGGGTCCTTTTGAGATAAATCCACTTCATTATACATCCCTAGATATTTTGTGGGACGTAGGTAACAAGCATCTTTTATGCATCGAAAGGCATTTTCTGCATACATTTTTATTCCAGCCAGAGGCGTCCGTTGGGGTTTTATTGAATAATTTTGAAGAAAAGAGTGATACGCTACTGCTAACTCTTGAAATAAAAATCATCTTTGAAATCCTCACTCCTTTCTCAGGAAATCCGCTCTGTTAACTTTTTTTCGTTTCGCATACAAAATTAAATTTTTTTATTGGAATTGGGTATTATTAAAGATTAAAAACGTTTTCACTGGTTGAAAAGCAGATTTTGTTTTCGAAACAAAAATAGTTTTAACGTATATTTGAACTTTGATTCATATGTTTTAATTTACATCTGTCATTATTGTTCACCATATTCTGTACTGTTGCAATCTTTCTGAACAAGGACTTCCCTTATAGAATAGACAGCAACTCTACAAATGTGCAGTTATCAAGGACCGTATTTAGAACAGAACATTGAATGAAATATAAAACATATGTCTTTCAATTACTCTATGTATATTGTATGAATGATGAATATTATGACCGATAGTTTAGTTTATAATGTTGTTTGTTCACTGGTTCATGTTCATGATATTTTATTTTTCATTCAAACTGACATCACACACAAAACGTCTTAATTTAGTTTTTTGTTTCAGTTTTCATACACAAGCTCTGTGAGCTTCAGTGGCTTGTCATGTTTATTTCTGCATTTCTTCTTATTTATATGTATATATATATTTAATATTATGAGACTAGGTAAACAACTAATAATTATTATTATTATTATTAGTTGTTTCCCTAGTCTAGGTTATTGAAATTAACAATTTAATTTAAAAAAATATGTAATGCATATCTGTAAACTCAGAATTCGTATAAAAGGACCATGCTTTTTTTTAATTATAACAACTAGACTATTCATATTGTCTGAATGTTTTTCATCAAAAATTCAAATGGGGGTTCCATTTCTCAACTTCTAACTTCAAACTGCAAGACCTTGTCGTTCAAAAGTTACGGCCTTTAGGACATATGTTCTTATGAAGTTTTTTTACTCAAAATGAACCAAAAATAACTTCCATAAATGTAAGCTTGTTATTACATACTCTGTATGTAACCAACTGCCAAGTGTTAAAAAAGAGACCTTCTTTAGGAGAGATTAGTTTCTGGGAAAAACATCGTTATGCCTCTTAACTTCTTCATCTTTGAACAAACAAAGTGGGAAACATCCGAGAAGAGGAAGAAGGAAATTAATTGCCAAATAAGCTCATTGAGAATGACTTCAGAACTTCACTATCCTTATATTTCTGATATGTATTTTGTTTTTTTATTGAAAATATCTGTTAGCGATTTCTTGTTAATGGCCCCGCGCCAAGTTTCTCCCATTATCATTTAATTATGATTCAACAAATGAAGATGACTTATGAACATTAGCAAAGCAGAAGCTCAAGCATATATCGTTTGTAGAAAGAAATACATGACGCATAAATTTGGTATAAAAATTTGAGGTTTCCGAAAAACAAACATGTTTTCCAACAAAATATTCAATCATTATTGAAAAATGTGTTTTACCAAATGAAATTTTGTATTCTGACAAACAACATATGCTTTTTGACGAATTGGTACAAAAAGAACTGTCAATATAATTACCAATATTTTCGGTATCTTCTATCACAGGTCTGGGGTTAGTAGTAAATTCATTCTTGAAAAAATAATATTAAATGAACATGAAGATGCAACATTTAAGAAAATGGCAATGGAAAGGTTATTGTGGAAACAGACATTTTTATACTCGGGAACAGACAAATTGGAACAGTGATATTGTTCTGTAATATACAGAAGGTACCGTGATGACTTGAAAATGGCCATACAGGTAGCTCAATGAACCCGAATGAGCTCCAATTTATAGTTCTTCACGTACGTACCAGATACCAAATAGAATGTGAAATGACTATCAACTTGGACACTGTGTATACGAGAATGTATTGAAAAATTCTTAAGAGTAAACAAAATTGAAAATTCATTACAGCTTATCTGCAACGCCTAGACTTAAAAAAAAATATCTTGCTTTGCAAATCTGGCCTACACAACTTCTATACTTCTTCGTTAGAAAAAAATATACGACTTCTTAGACTTTTTTCAATTGAGGGAAAACACGATAGTCGGACGGATATGGTGAATAAAGGAGTGGTCGAGCAATTAGAACCGTAGATAATATAACATAATTTTTTCTTCTTAGAGAGGGTCAGTAACATCAAATAGTAATTCCTAGTTACTATTCTACCCTTTTCCAAAAATGCTTCGAAATGGCCATGTAGGAACAGGTATTCGAAATGTTGTCGACAGAACATTTTGAAAATTTTTTTTTGTACTTATGTAAAATAATAAGCAGTACACGATACTAACTCAAATTGCGTCGCTTTCCCTTCATTCCAAAATTGTGGCGCTTCAAAGATCAATAGGTCATATTTCCCTTTTAGTTTTTGCATCAAAATACAATAGAAATATACATGATTTTATTCGTGGCATCACCTTTACACACCTAGCTCAATATCTTCTTTCGCACAAATTTATCTTTCTCCATGAAAAAAAAAATTTGGTTAGAGCTATTTTCCAGTAGTTTACTGTGTAATTGACAAATTTGAGGTTAAACATTTATGTTGGTTCCACTCTTTCACTAGAATATTACAAATTCGATATATTCTCACCAAAAAAAAACACGGATTTAAGAAATAGCTTAGCTGCTGCTTATACTCCACTTTATATGCCAAGTGAGTACTTCTGATTCACAAAACGTATGAAATAAATAACTTTTAAGACGATTCAATGTGGATGGTGCATGATCTAGGTGTGCTTCAAAAAAAACAATTGAAGGAATTAACTCAAATCATATTCGAGCAAATCGATAGTACCAACGTAAATTCTTAACCTCAAATTTGTTGGAATATAACCCTATTTTCAAAATGAAGAAAGAGCGTCGCGTTTTGACTTCAGAATCGTTTTCTCATCATTTTACGTAGCTACAAACATTTTTTTCGAAATCTTCTGCCAGCAACATTCCGAATATTTACCAGTAACAACACAGCTTGAGAAGTTTTTATCTTCAATGGAAAATTTACCTCCTTTTTCACAGTTGCATACAAAGAATATTGATTTTCATTCGAAGGTATTGATTATAACTGCTCACCTCCCTTAAAATACAATTTTGGTAGACATCTTTTTTTTACTGTGCAACTCTAGTTTTAATTTCGACATAAAACTTCACGCTAACAGTTGTAATGAGGTATTTTTCGTTGCTAAGGTAACCTGTCTAGGTTAAGCAGATATCAATACATCCTCGTATCGATATATTTTAATGAATAATATAAATTCTGAAGGATCAAGTTACACTATCACAACTATTTCCATGATGCAACAATTGAAATAATTCAATACATTATCCACGCCAGGAATTTTGTTAATAGTTCATGCAAGTATTAGATACAACTATATTAAATACATCATTACAAGGAAACAATATTTTTACTTTTATTTCACCATGATACTGGGCCTGTTATCAGGATCTTAAAACCTGAACGATCTCTGAAAATATCCAACACTGTCAACCAACACATACTTCGCAAAATTTGTAGAATTCAATAATTTATTAGATAGTTATAAATTATAAATAGTCTATTCCCAGGATAAAGTGTATCACCTCAACATTAGTCAACATAAAAACAATGGAGAGACAGTAAAACAAATGCATTAAAAAGGAGTCATTAAAGGATAATATTCTGCATGATACTCAATTTATCTTTTACGCTAACCAAATCCAGAAAAGAGTCTTCGATGATTTAACTAACCGTTATAGGAATGAATTAATACAAAAACTAAATACAAAGACAACTCCCACGTTTTACAAATGTAATAAGACTAAACGTTATATTCAGAAGAATATAACAAACATACATGTACATAACATGTACAAACTCGTATGGGGAGGAAAAAAACCTATGAGCTCATGAGACTATAGTGTTTCCTAGAGACTTGAAAAAAAATAAACAAGTAATTGGTTTTCAAGCTACAAAAAACCCTCTTTGTGGTTTTATTCTCAACTTGCAACTTGGGTATTAAATAACAACAGGCTATGCTTTGGGAACATGTACTGTATCATGTATGAGATTTCAAAGAATCAATGTCCTCTAAAGTATAACTAGGTGAAGGCCAATCATATGTATTGTATAGATTACTAAACTAAAATCTTTTGCAAAGTTTTTTTTTCATTTATTTTGTTTGAGAACATTGGACCTCAAATGTTTCCACAAATATTTGAAGTACTGCCCCAATAGGAATATTCAGTTGAAATGTTCATCATTGAGGTACAATATAGCTTAAAACTCAAGTTGTTCAAACTTTCACTTGGAAACTAGAAATATGTTTTTATATAGTTGTTCAAATATCCTCAATTCCTTACCTATCTTACATCGAGTGGTACTAACATTGCTATCTCTTGAATATAAATAAAAATTTAAAAAGTGGTTGGGTATTTATAGAAGCTCATTAAATTCATATATCTGAAATGAAGATATTTTCATTACTTGACAAAATACTTCAAAGACTGAAAAAACTGTCCATTTCTATTACAAATCATACACGATTCAATTAAAGAGAACGGAATTTGGCTGATCATGCAAATTTTGTTCTCTCTAATCGTGACTCCGGCCGTACACAAACGATTCAGTGATTTAACAAATATTTAAAGGTTCATGATGTCAGAGTATGCTTCAAATGAAATCATTACACCTTTGGCCTCACGTTGGGCGCCAACTACGATAGTATTTTCCTTAGTGAAACCATCGATAGTTAAACTAATGTTGTTACTCTTATTCAGATGATAACAGTATAAGTACCACTTTATTCAATCAGTATAAAATGGTGAAAATAAATTCGCATTGAATTCAAATATATCAGGAACTTCTTTATGGTCTCCATAAATCGCTAACCAATCAACATCGCTACTATATTCTTCATACAATGTCACACGTAACTTACCTGCTTAGTCTTTCTTCTTCTCGTACTTTCTTCAACTTACTAAAATCATCATCTTCTTCGTCGGTTACTGACCCCCCTATGCTAACGTTGTCAGCATTATCTACACCCTTTCCATCACCTGATGTGCCAGGTGCGGATGTAGATATACGTGAGAAAGGATCGTAAACGTTTTCGTTTCTGTAGAAGCAAAACAGAAAATTCAAATTTTTTGAATGAGTAGTAACATTATCATTATAGGATATAAAGGTGTATGATATAATTAGTAATAAATCTTTGTGATGTACTGTACTGCATAAATACAGTCACCATTGACAATTCATTAACAGAAGTTAAAATCGTATACTTAAAAGAAGAATTAGAACGAAAATGATGATAAAGTAAAAATATTTCAATGTACAGTTGAAGCAATTACTTGTATGTAAATTCAAGGAAGTTAAATTAGGTGTTAATTGTCGCCACACCTTCTGAAAAAATTATTGTCTGCGGTGGCAGAAATTTGGGAAGCTAACCTGAAATGCCATAGGAAAACGAATCCATATGTTTCTAGAAATGATATGAAATCGACAAAGGTTAATGCAGTCCAAATTTCCCAAATTTCTGCCACCGCAGTTGTCGGTTGATTGGTCAAACCACCAACACTGACATAAATAACATTGTTGATAAATTCACATTTTTTTTAAATAACTCATTTGGTTCAAATATGTAGGATATGGGACAATACAGACTGAAGAAACAGGTCACGGTAAATATTTTCTAAAGAAACGATAATAAAATCAAATCGATGACTTTTATCGTGACAAGAAACTGTTGAAGGCTTTCAAAGCCATCAACTTCAGTTTGGAAAAACTGTTTCCAGAATGTGTTTGAACGCAACAAACGTGTATCATTCTTGAAGGAGAATATTTTAAAAAACAAAACTGTTTGTTTACAACAATTATTTTCCCACTTAAAATTAAAGTAATAAAACTGTATTTTATTGAACTGAACCTTTTTTTCAAGCAACGGTTTTTATAGATGATCACATCAATGCATCATATATATTCCATATTTACTTTTCTTAACCCTACTTTGATACTCCTGTTCGTTTAAATTCTGGGATATTCTATCAAGATATATCCAATAAAACACACATGCCTTCACAAAATAATGATCATATGATTTAATTTCTATGTGAAAATTAGACTTACAGGCTTCGGACCCCTCGATAAATTCCTCTATAGGTTAGCGTGAAAAAAAGATCCAAAAATTAACTTTTCTGTAACCCAAGACTTTCACTTTGTTGTTAAATTTCAGCCTATTTCAAGGAGATGATGAGTTATTTATTCATTATTCAGGTGTCGTAATACTCGTATTATAATAATATAGGTAAAAAGTTCATATTATGACAGTATTTATGGAAACAATATGTGACCAAATTTAAGTATTCCTTATCAGCTTGGCAGCAGTGGATCCGATATGAAATTTTGCCTTTTAATCCATTTTAACTTCAAGTCATTAGATATTGAATGAAATTGTAGCTGTGTATTTTGTTGTTTCTATGAAGATTCATTTTTACAAATATTGTATGGTCCATATCTAAAAGCACAACTTTGTCTATGTCGACAAAGACTTTACAAGTGCCACATGAATACATGTCGGTAAAATTTGTAATAATTTTTGTAACAAGAAAAACGAATATTTTCTCAGCAATTGCAAATATTGTAGAATAATTGTGTTATTAGTTTCATGCGGTTTCTACCGAATATAATAACGTGAATCTGAAGCACTATTCATTCAATAATTGTATTCATCAATTTCATAGTCATCAGAGAAAATATAGCTTAGCTTGTTCAACTCCTTGAATTTCTTCAGATGCAAGCAATAAATTATTGGAAAAAATCCGTCACCATCTTTACATCTATTGCTAGAATAATATACGACTGAATCTTGCCTAATCCTTTTTTGGTTGTTATTATTATACAACACATTCACAAAGTAACTATTAACGACCTATAATTCATTATAATCCACAATTGAATTCGATCAAAAGTGAGGTTACGTTTTGTAAGTAGATGTAGACAGGCAGATGGGCGAATGTAGAAGACAGAAACCTTCTCTCCATTCATCCCACTGCTACCAGATACAAAGAATTATCTCGGAGACAATATACCACATTCAATACCAAAACGGGGAAATGAATGATGGCAAATGATTGACTAGTTATGGCGAATGGTGACTATTTGTGGCGAATGGTGACTAGTTATGGCGAATGGTGACTAGTTATAGTGAATAGTGACTGGTTCAGGCGAATGGTGACTAATTATGGCGAATAGTGATTAATTATGGCGAATGGTGACTAGTTGTGGCATGTAACGACGCAGCCGACTTGTGGCGTCTGAGAAAGTGTTTATAGATTTAATATGATGTACACCAGGGGTGGCCAACTTGATTAGACATAAGATCTACTGTTTACTGATGAAACCCTGTGCGATCTACCACTTACATACTTCTTGAAATCTTAAATGAAACAGCATTTTTGTAATAATTTTTGTAACAAGAAAAACAAATTTTTCTCAGCATTAGAGCAATTACAAAGATTGTAGAAGCAAGCAATAAATTATTGGAACAAAATCGTCACGATAATTGCATCTATTGCTAGAATAATATACGACTGAGTCTTGCCTAATCCTTTTTTGGTTATTATTATACAACACATTCACATAGTAACTATTAACGACCTATAATAATTTATCGAAATACACAATCGAGTTCGATCAAAAGTGAGGTTACGTTTTGTAAATAAATGTAGACAGGCAGATGGGCGAATGTAGAAGACATAAACCGTCCTCCATTCGGCCCACTACTGCCAGATACAAAGCATTATCTCGGTGAAAATATACCACATTCAATACCAAAATGGGGAAATGAATGATGGCGGATGATAACCAGTTATGGCAAATGTTGACTAGTTATGGCGAATGGTGACTATTTATGGCGGTTAGTGACTAGTTATGGCGAATGGTTACTAGTATGGCGAATGGTGACTAGTTATGGCGAATGGTTACTAGTTATGGTGAATGGTTACTAGTTATGGCGAATGGTTACTAGTTATGGCGAATGGTTACTAGTCATGGCGAATGGTGACTAGTTATGGCATTTAACGACGCAGCCGACTTGTGGCGTCTGAGAAAGCGTTTATAGAGTTAATATGATGTCCACTGTTGAACTTCAAGTAATAATATTGCAGTATATGAATTTTTGTTTCAAGAAGCAAGTGAACATGTATCCTTGTGAGGATAAATAGAAGGGTTTAATTGGCATTCAAACGAAAATAGCAAGACATGCAAATAACCAATTGTTTCTCACTAGTAAAAATAATGTTCCTACTAATTCTCTCTCTGAAGAAACTTGTATCGAGACAATTTCTGATAATTTTTCTGAACATATGGAATAACAAAAATATTTAGATTATTTTATTCAAGGAGGATTTACGAAGATGCTCTCTAAATTAACATTTCCTGGCATACTACACATAACCTTTCAATATTATTTAAACATTGTGGAACAAATTTTTGGTCCATTCAAAAACAGTTATAGAAGTAAAAAATATCAAAAGTCTGGAATAACACCTATGTAGTACTATCCCTTCAATATTCTTCATTATGTTTTTATAAAGTTAATTCGTTTTTTTCTTGATAAGTCGGAAATAATAAACACATTTTATACAATTCTTCAATAAAAACAAAATATAACTCTAAGAACAAAAAAATTACACCTTTTTGGGGTAAATCCTCAAGCTACCAACAAACTTTCAAAAACGCATTAATATTAATTTTGAAAAATAACACACAAAAAATAACACACTTACGCAGTCTGATGGTCATATGATAGGGGAACATCTATAGGAGTAGATGGCGTAGGGGGTCCAAATAAATTCATCACAGATGGTCTAGATTCTTTCGCAGATCTTTGAGAAGTTATTGTGGTTTGTTCGTCAACCTATTGAATCGTTTTATTCATTATGAGAATACCAAAACACACAGCAAAACATACCTCCTCGATTATTTCATCTGTTATTTTCTTTGTACTGCCTACTGATTTCGCATATATATCAGGCACGAGATTGTTCATTTCACTAGCTTCAATTTTGGTTTCGGGCTTACTTTCGTCTCTACTGAAAAACCTTTTCAACATGTTGGTGACAGAATTGTGACGAGACATTGAATCTGGAATTAAAACATTATGAATCGATGAATATCTGTAGCTATAGACGTATCCACCGATGGGAAGACACAGGGGGTAAGCAAAATATAATAATTAAATGGTTGTAAAATGATATGAAATAAAATTAGGCAAGGGGACAACAAATAATTTACCATACTGTTGAAGGATCTTTCAGTACTCTTCGGAGGGTATAATGACCTGCCTCAGATGTACAATGTAAGAGAACTAACTTACCGAGTTGTTGGAAATCGGAATTTCTTCTAGAAAAATCGCCACTGGATTGAATCAAGTCTTTTTATAACTCAAGAATAAAAAATTTTTTTTTTCGAAAAAATAATAATATTATATAATGAAGCTTTTCCAAGGCACTTTGGTTTTTGGCATTTTTTCATGGCTATCTGATGGTGGCCTTACATCAAACCTTTTCCATGACCTTCTTCAAGTATTCGAAGGTCAAGGTCAGTTTTTGAAATGGAAACCCAAACTTTTAATCACGTAAATGAGGAGAGCGGGAAAAATTATGGACGCATATGACTTTGAATAACACTGAATTTGTTCTGTGTATGGAGGTCGTTTGAAGGTGAAATATTCAAAATATTGAAGGAATGAAGAGACTTATAGTGTGAGCGGAAGAAACCGTACAAATATCTACGATTTTTCACTGGCTGTCCTGTGGTGGCCTTTATTTATTCGCGACCTTGCCAATTATTTATAGCTCAAAAAAAATTCAGTAAGAAAACCCATATTTTTTTATCCTGGATTCAGAAATAGTGGGGCATGGCCCCAGTCTTTGTATCCCTTAACTTCTCAGATTAACAGTCTTGATAGGCCACACATAAATTTCCTTTCACTGGCTAATTCCACACTCCACCTTGCCTTTACCCCATTTATTTTTCTACCATTTGAGCTGACTGGGGGCTTGATTACAGCCAAACCCGAAAGTAATTCTGTATCCAAAATCAAAACTAAAGATATTGATTCAAATTTTTTTTTAACTGAAAATAACTGCAAAATCAGCCAACTAAAATGTCACCGTCGGTCAATTAGAAACAATTCGAAAATACCTTGTACTGTTTCAATTTTGAATCTCTTAATTACTTTACCTTTCTGATAGTCTGACTTTCAAAAAACCCTCAGATTTGTCGAGAGAAAAATGTGAGTCTTCATTTAAAAACTGACTTTGACCTTCAAATAATTTGCAAGGTCACGATCAAGGTCGATTCTAAGATCGCCGTTGAATGCTCAAGAACATCTTGTATATTCTTGTTTTCCTACCATTTAGTACGTTTTACTTTCGAATGACCTTCCAAGGCCTATTTTAGAGTCCCTTGAGGTCGTATCCGAACGTAGACTTTCCCAATTTCAATTTGCGAGTTGAAAATATGTCTTATTATTCAAAAAACTATCTTTCAACTTTAAATAACTTACAAGGTATTAGTAAAGGTCAAATTATAGGTCAGCATAGAATAGCCATGAAAAAATCCTAAACACTGCTACACATTTTCGAGTAATTGATCAGTAACGGAACCTTTGAGTCGCCGTATACATAATTCTAAAATATAATATACAACCGGAACGACCACGGATTGCCTCCCGATGTTTTGATGCTTTGCCCACTTTTTTTGGAGTGTTTAGTGACAAAAAACAACATTTACTTGAAAAAAATACATAGTTACACGAATCTTACCAGGGACTGTTGTTGATAAAGAATTTTGGGAACCTCTTTGGTATCTGAAAGAATTTGGGCGAGGTTTTGCCGTAAAAGTAATTGGTCCCCCATCGAGTGCGGCCATTGACTGCATATCATCAACTTTGACTGAAGATGGCGTCATTAGCCCCTGATCTTGGGGCCTGTTAGCTATATTAGCAGTAGAAGGAAGAGGGTGCGAGTCTCTTATTGCCCTTGCAGCTTCAGTATACGGAAGTTCCTGTGGAAATACTTCGTCCCAGTATTGATCTCTCACCAGTTCTGGGTGATCATTGTGCATTTCATCTACTATCAAATACGACACCTGAAAATTATCCATTATTGAAAAACAAGAAAAGAAAATTATCTCAAAATACAAGAGTCGGTTCAAAAAATCTGATATATCTATATATAGACAATGGAAGTCCGAACTAGTAAAATTCGCCATCAAACATAGTCAACAACTTTCAAACAAACATAAAAAATATTATTCTGAGTTTGACCAGAACCATTTGTAAAAATATCGCAGAGTAATACATTTCATAAAATTTATTGAAGGTAGTAAATTACTACAAAAAAAAACAAATTTTCATTCTTACTTGAACATTTCTGTCCACCATCCAGTTAACTTCGAAATCATCGTCATCATCTCCAAAAGGATTTATCATAGACTCTGCTACTTTCAACCAACCGATATAGAAAAAAAATTGTAATGTGGTGAAAATCGGAAAATACAAATCGAACTTGTATTTATTGCCTTCAGTCCATTGGTGTCCCATAATATTGGTAAGAAAATAGCTATAAACAGCCAAAGTAACTACCTAAACAATAAGAAAGATAAGGCGCTTAATAATTAGTCAGTTTTTCTCAAATAAGAAGTGAAAATATAATACTAATTTTAGAGTATTCACTGTTTCTCACCTGTGTATAAACTAAAGGAACGTTTATGTGATCAAATGTAAGAAGAAGACCGCATTGGCCCCTAAATTTATTTAATTCATCTATTAAAGTTTTGACAGCGAAGTCGTCTCTTATCCGCCCTTCTCTCCTGGCCCTCGTAACTATGCTTGAAGCCCAGATCAAAGGTAACCTGAAAAAATCTCAATATAGCAGTGTGAACTGTCACTTTCTATTGATTTTTTTACTTCTGTACATATATTTTTTGTATTCGCTCATAAAATATAAAATTTAAGACAAGAACCACAAGTCACGATCTATCTGACACTGGATTTTTATCTTTATTGCTTTCAATGAACTCGCGAAAATTATTATTTGTTCTTTAGACTGTCAAGAACACGCGATGAAATCTACTATTGGACACCCAAGCTACACAACGCCCTCCCTGCGGAGGGCGTTGTGGAGGGCTCGACATGTTTCAATTACCAAGTGATCATCTTCCTCTTGGTGTTGGGATTCAACTCCAATAATATTTATAAGTTAGAGTCACATAATGTTTACTATCATTCTTTGGAACTGTGGAACTGGATAGACCTGGTTCAGAGTTTGTTTTTGCAATAAAAAAAAAACTGAGTCAATAATATCCTCCTCGCAACTGTGGTTGAGAGCAATTTGTTTAATGAAAATCAGGTCTTTTTGAAAATTGCTTTCTAAAAGTGGAATAT